CTTCATCCACTGCAAATGCAATCGTTTTATTTTCATGTGCATTAGAAAAGGCAACTCTCAGCATCCCTCTGGGGACCTGGAGGATTTACCCCTATTTTTCAACGTATTAATTACCCCTTGTTAGTTAAAGATTGTGCCTTTGGACAGTGGTGCCTAAACCAGAAGCGATTATAGTACAGACATCTTGTGCCACTTTCTTTGTTAACCAGTGATTTTTTTTTAATTTTCAGCATGTTAAAAACTTCCATCGATCCTGGATTGACAATACAGCCATACATAATCTTATCTCCAAGAGATCTGTGTAAAAATCTGACTTTAAAAACACAGAAAGGAAAAAGAAAATTCCAGGTAGATTCTCAGCTATGCATTTTTGCTCTTTCTTCTGCAGTTACAAGTGTCAAATGTTTTTCCTGCTCTGCATTTAACTGTTTGAAATGTTTAAACACTACATTTGGAGAATCTGTCGCTAACTTTGGACCTTCTCAGGAATTGTTAGCTTCACCTCAACTTATCATTAGTGTCCCCTGTAGATTGTGTCTGCCAGGAAAAACCTATAGGGAACATGGGACCTGAATGGCCAATAGCAAGGGTGTAGAAAAGACTCCCCTTTCACCTATTTAATGCACAATTTTTAACTCCACTGAGCTACAGGGCTGGCATCTTAGGGACACACACTGCCCCAGAAATAGATAGCACTGTTCAGGTACACATCCAAAATGCCCAAGTCCCATGCTGGCTGTAGTATGTGCACGTCTCATCTCCATTATCCTATTACAGATCTTACACACTGTATGACTTGGAGGATTTGTAATAGGATAATGGAGACTTTTACCTCGAGGTCACCAGTTTAAATCCAGCCCCAACTGAGCTGTGATTTTAAGTTATTTGTATCTGGTGATCTGTGAGTGTGTCTCCTCTGGCTAGCACACAAATGTCCCTGCTACTAACACCCCTTGCTTCAAATGATGTCAAGTCTTGGTAAAGAGAGGAAGGAAGAGGTGTGGCAGTGGAGATTGAATTGTCTCTCTTTGTTTGTCCATGTGAGGAGCGAAGTATATGTATGTCTCAGTGCACTGGCATTTTCTAACCTGCTGTGCTACTAAACAAAGGACTGAAGTCCTAACACTGTCATACAGCAGCTTATTCCAGCACTCCACTCATCTGAAAACAGTAGAGGTTAAATAACAAAGCTATCTCAAGCTCTGATACAGCAGGGATGAGCTCATTAATAATACCTCTACGGCCAGCCCACAATTTTTTGGGGCCCGCTAAAAAAAAAGTTTTGGGGGGCCCTGCCCTGAAGAAGCAGGGGAGGAGGGGGATGACAAGTAGCCGAACGCAGGGGGCCCCTTAGCTGCGGGGCGTGCTGTGGCCACAGGTTTCGCAGTATAGGATGGGCCATCCCTGAATACCTCAGCAATGAAATGCGTGCTTATTAATGGCTATTATGGGGAGAGGATAAGAGGCCACGAAGAGCTGGCTTAAAATGTTCAGAACAAGTGTTTGTAGAGGTGGTGAATTTGCTTGTGTTGGTAAAGGTTGGGTGTTTTGCACTTGATTTCAGGTATTCTGATCTTCTCCAACTTCTTGGCTTCGCTGTTTACATTTTTATAGGGATTTGATCAGAAAGGTTAAAGGTATTTTGGATGCAGTGACATTTAGACTAGCTGATCTGATGAGTGCTTCTCATCTAAGTCAAATGCAATACTATGTAGAGACTTTAAAAAGTTGCCAGAGGGGAAACATGTTCTGCTTCTTAAAATAAATAAGATGAGATGAACAGACTCCAAAGAAGGCGCAGAAATTCAGGAGAAAGGGGCAGGGGCTTAATAGGGAAAAAAGGGAAAAAATGCACATTTCCATAGAAGGACACAAATCAGCAACAGTACTGTGGTAAAATGTATCATAACTATGTAAAGAGCACAATTCTGATGGCCTGCCTTTCTCTAGCAAAGGACAGCTTTCTTCCTTTTGCTTTAGATCAGTGTTACGTATTTAATCTCAATGTTTTGCTTTCTGAATGCCCCAGAGGAAAACTGTGTTGTATGTCTGGGATGGAAAAGCCTCACTTTGTTTTCTCACAAACTCAGCTGGAAAGCTGGGTAAATAACAAAATAACATACGCTTTGGAGTGCAGCATCACACCAGCTGTAGCTTGCAAACTAGCTGTTAGTCTCTAGGCATAGAATATTTATCTTGCCTGCTTTCAAGCCAATTACTCAAGGCCCATTGCACAATATATGGTAATCTTATGAGTTAACATGATAATATTCAAATCCACTGATCATTGAATCTGAAGAATAAGGACTTTGACCCAAAAGAGGGCTGGCCGTTAGCTATGTAACTAGCTATGCTATTTCATCTGTAAGATTTTCCATGGGGTGGTGTTATTTATCCTATCGTGCCTTATAAACAAATAACAGTAGGCAAATTCAGTTCATTTAAATGTGACTGTTCTGTATATCATCTTAAATACAAACTAGCACATCTGAGGATACAGTTTGTACTGGGGTTAAATAATGACAGAAAGATTACACCTGGCCGTGAGGCTCAGAAATGAAACATCGGGAACAGATTTATGCACAAAAGATGTTTTTAGGTGAGATTTAAAATAGTATGGGAAAAAATATGACTGATATCCTGGCAGGGAAATGCTAGGTGTTGGGAGGGAGATTATTCATTTATTTTAAAGAAACAGTCCTTTCTATGGACAGGACAGTAAGTGTATGTTAAACAGCCACAACTCTGTCTCATTTGTTTTGCATTGTGTGTTAATTTGCATTGCAGGAAAAGATGTGGAAATGGTGAGTGAAGAGAAGGCGGTACCCTGAAAGCCTGGAAGAAAAGCAGGGAGTGAAACAGCAGAGGGTTGCTTTTCATAATTGTACTGATTTCTCTTTGGAAGCCACACCATAGCTAGGTATTGAAAACCCATGATTGGGACCAGTTTCTGCCCTTTCCTGTTAGTTAAATGCTATTGACGGGCTAGTAATGGAGGTAGACTATAGCTCAGTATTTGTGTAAACAAGATAACCAAATGTCATGGTATATACCGTGGACCTGATCCCAAACTCACTGAAGTCAATGAAAATCTTTAACTACGATGGGTTTTAGATCATGCACCATGACATTGGTTTATTCTCCGTTAATGCCCTTTATTAGAGTTACCCAGTTTAGGACGTGAGGATTTTCCTTACTGATTTTGTTAATACCCAACAGAAAAACCTTCCCTTGCTTGTGCTTTTTAAAAACTCCTTTGTCACATTTCATTGTTTCACTTTTATAAGAGAATACCAAATCAATCCTAGTTGAGGGGGAAATATTTAAGAAACCATGAAAAATATGAGTGGTCCTAGTTTCTGAATGCATCTTCCCCACTAAGCTAAGTTCTCTTTCCAGCTAGCATCTGGCATGTCAGCATAAGTCTTCAATTTTGCTGGCTTATTCCAGTGCATTTGACACCTACCTGAAACTAGTTGCTCATCCACAAGCAGGCAGAATTCTTCAGTTCTGTTTTCTAGGTCAAAATGTATTTTGCTGTTTATTTGAGTTCAGTGCTGTTTGTATACGTGATGCAGTTTCATGGGTTTTATTACTCGTTCCAATAAAGCCTTTAAAATGTTTCACTATGATTCATTGCCATTATTTGAGTAATCTAAGAAATTATGGTTTCAAGACCTAGGAAGGAGTAGTAAGTATTCTTTAATAAATCAGTGAGCAGCATTATATAAAAGGTTAATATTATGTATAATATTATTATGTATTATAATAATACATGGGATGTATTATGTATTATAATAATACATATTTCATGGTATTCTGGTTGTATTCTAAACAACATGGAGACAAGGATTTAAAAAAATCCTTCATCCTTTAGTAAGAGACAAGGACTTTTGTGAGAGAGCGCTTTTATCGGGCCAACTGTAGTCGGGAGAGATTTTTAGACAAGTTGTCAAGCACAAAGTGCCATTCCTCTGGTCTTTTAGTCCCATGTAGTACATGAACCAAGAGTTTTAAATGTAACCTTTATGAGTGAGGAAAAAAGCTATTAACCATACGGATATGTGTTTTGTTATGATCTATGTTAACTGAACAACACATAATTATATGTGACTTATACTGCCTATAAATTAACTGGAAGTGTCAGTTATTTCCAGTTGCACAATTTAAATATCATTTAGCCACATTCAGCCTTTATTAATTACAGTACTAGTCTTCTACCCAAGAAAGTTCATTCTGTAACCTAGACAATCATTTTCCCCCGGTTTCATATTGAAACATATTTATGTATATTCCAATCAGAAGCTATGGAAACTGGTTCTTAATTTTTTAAAGAGAGGATCTTATCCCCCCAAAATTTACAAAAACCTGTGAAACCCCTTTCCTCAGCTTTATGAACTCTGCTGCACCTTAAGCCTCTTAGAGTTTGACAGAGTGACTACAAAATTAATAGGAAGACCCCCATTATCAAGAAGAGTCTCATAAAAAAAACCAAACCACAACAGAATCCCAAATTCATGTCAGAACAAGGTTACTGCTCTGAAGCGCTGCTGTTAATCTAGCGCTGCTTTTTCTACGGCATGAATCATCTTTCAGCTTTGCAGTGCATTTGTGTTTTTTCAGAGCAGATCAGCTCTGGTTTTGGTTCTATTTAAACAACGGTTTCTCGCTCTAGGCAGGTGTTCCTGTCACAGATGCCACCATCACAGCTGGCACTAACTGGCCCTCAGACGGCCATCTTAGAGACCCGGTATCAACAGGCTGGAGAGCTGCTCTGATTCCTCCCATAAATAGCACGTGAGGGTCATTTCTGAAGTATGCGACAGGGCAGCAAGCCTAGGGAAAGTATGCCTGCCAGCCGTTGGTGCTGCGCTGTGAGGTCATACTCTCCATCTGCTTAACTAACATTGCATTCATCTATATTCAAAGGCATTGTAAGGGGAAAAGGCCACTCTTCTAGATTTTTTTAAATTATTTTTTATTCATGCACCAGCTCAGAAGCAATATGTTACACTTACTAGTCTCACTGCAGGTTTGACATCAGCTCATTTACCTGTTTTATTCTATGTTCAGAGCCATTCATTTCCACTCTGCTGTGCTATCATTGAGTCTACGCTCACTGGCAACAAGGTCACCTGAAGCTGGATGTTGTAATAAAAGATTCCCATTGCAGCTTAATGAGACTTTAATGACACGTAAAAGAAGCCTGTATTCATACTGATGAGCTTTGTATGGCAGGTGAAAGCAGTGGTATATTGCTAAGCAGCTTGCTTGTTTTTAACCAGGCAGTTGACACTGAACTGAAGGAGAGGTTTCAGACTGCAGTCATGCGGGCTGAAAACCTACTGACAGTAGGATGGCCCACTGCTGTTGTAACTGGGGTGAAAGTTGAGTCTGTCGTAAAAGGTGATGAAGTTATCTGGCCCCGTGACATCACTTTTCTCCATGGCGGTGTTGAGACCATTACTCCTGTACATGCCGCACTGTCCCAGTTTTTTTGAAAATTCATGTGAGCAGACATAAAAGGAGGTCTGTGATGGAGGGGAGGGGGAAGGCAAAATAAGATGTTAGATTGGTAGGAGGTAACCTTTTTGGCATGCGTGCCACAAATTAAGCCCCACACCCTTCCCGAATGCCACTCCAAATCCCTTTCCCGGGTACAATCTGCTGCTCTTTCAGCTCCCTGCCCTGTGCTCCCTGCTCAATCTGCTGCTCTGCTTTCTGCTCTGCATCCTAGCTGCCACCACGTTGTCTGTTCCTTCCCTGATCTGGATGCCACACAGAGGCTACCCGTGCCACATGTGCTGGTTGCCACCCCTGTGTTAGATGCACATGCGAATGGTGCTCTATAGTAGCTAGGACTCTTGGTTTTTACGGCTCAGGAACCAACGCCCTACAGAAGCCCACAGCAAAGGCCTGGAAACTTTCATCCCTGAACTGGCATTGCTATCCATGCATAATAATGTGCGTGTGACTGAGCTGGTATTGATTAAAGATGTTTAAGAGTAGAAAGAGGCTTTTTATTCTCTGTTGCCTGCAAGTATCTCTCTCCATTTGGAGTAACACGCTTAAGGGCAAGGATATGGTGTCCTATGAAAAGTAGTACTTCTACCCCAGTGTGCTTCAGAAGTACTCGATCACTGTGTCCACTCACTTTTGAGTGAATAACTTATCTTTTCTTTCTAATCCTCCTGCACTACAAAGCCTGTTGCTTGGAGATACTGAGGTTTCTGGGTGCAGTTTTGCCAGAGCCTCCGAGTGACTTAAGCGATTTTCAGTGCTTATGCTCCTATACCAAAAACTCCACCATCTGCAAAGTTTGGCATTAGTCATTATTGCTTCCCTTCCTTTGTAAGTGGCTGGGGTGACGGCAGGACGCAAATCTGAAATGCAATTGAAAACACAGTCTACTGGGGTTTACAGAGCAGACCTAAGATTGAGCTGCTCTTGGACATTACGCCAATTTAACACAAGACACAGTGATAAATTGCGGCTATTAGGTTTCCCTCTGTTCTGTTTCCTTTTGTGACTTTTCCAGCCTTATTTTCTAGCTGTCTGAATAGACACCCACATAGACACGCCTTCCTCCTTACCCTAATTGCTTATGCCACTTGCAGGAGATATGTGGGCACAGGAGAGTTGGTAAACACCCCATGCCTGGAGAAGAATACAGGCATTTTAAGATGCTGCTTGGGATAGAGGTTCCTGTTAGGAGGGCGGTGTTCATGTTAGCTTTCTGCACACACTTACTGGCATTTCATGTACGGTAGGTGCTCTGCTTCCATACGTCTGGTTGGTGGTTCTGTACAGTGGATTGGGCTCTTTTGTCCTAAAGAACAAAATATAAGTTTACTCCGTCCGGTTTCTTCATGCAAACTGCATTCTGTACAGGGTTAAACAGTACGGAGAGCCCTTACAGCAAAAGATGGACATCGAGTCAGTCAAGCAAGGCGGAAAAGGTGGTTTTGGATGAGATTAGGGATGTGGATATGGTTGGAAAGCCTGCAGAGCAGTCAGGCCTGTCACCATCGGGAATGTGTCTTGCATTAAATTGACAGGAGCTCAGGGAGGAGATGGGTGCCATCAGGGCAGAAACCATACCCGAATCTGGAAATATTTGTAAGGAAAAGGACCGTTCTGGACTCTGCAGAGCTGGGGCTTGAAGATGGAGCAAAGGCACACTTGGGGCCTCTTGTCTCGAAGGCTGAACCGGCTCTCGGAAAGGGTTGCGATCGCAAGAGCCCCGCAGCACAAGCTGGACTTAAAACGGGTCTGGTTTGCTGAGGTCTGCAGATGATCTCTGGGCACGCCCCCAACCCCTCTCCATCCTGGCACCGTCTCTGCTCGATGCCCGTGTTGCAACAGCTGCCTCACCTGTAGCCCCGAAACCATCCTGGGTGGTTGAACCTGGCTGGCAAACTGTCATTCACTCGGTAATAATCGCTGGTTCTCTGCGACGGGCCCTGCTCCGTCTCCTTCTTACAGGGGGGCTCTGCTTCCAGCAGACGCCCCTGGGACATGTTGTGCTGAGGCCTAAACACGGATCCGGCTGGACAAAGAAGCGGGGAAGTGCCGGGTACTACAGCAGCTCCCGGTCCTTGTGTCACCTGTTGCTGGGAGACGGGCTGTCCCTTGGCAACAAAAGTGGCAACACTTCTTAAAGGAACACTGCTCTTCCCCTCCACAAAACCGGAGTTAGGGTTTGAGCAGGATGCCGGCTAGGTCCAGTAGTTGTAGGAAATCGCTGTTACAAGCGCCTGCCGTGGATCGGCTGTCGACTGCCCAGTTGGTTCTTCCCCCACCCCTTGCACCTCGTTCCCACGTTTCTTTTTTATTTGAACGTCTGGAAGAAGGCAGCGGGGTCCTTCGTTCATCGTCAGCATCCCCTCGACTCGAGGACGCTCATGGACAGGCCTCAAAGGGTCCGATCCTCGAGCCGCAAATCCCAGAACGAGCAGGCCGCGGCGATTCCTCTCTCCCTTCTCCGCTTCACCTACCACACGTACTCTCAACGCCGACATCCCGTAACGTTTCCTCCACCGCATCCCAAAGCGCTTATTTTGGGACCCAGGATGCTTGAGGCGGGTACCACTGGCATCAGGGAGGATGCTGGCGTTTGCACCCCTGGGAAGCGGGGCAGTGCCACTGCACCCTGCAAGCACTCTGGTTTTTCTCCCCCTGCTCCCTTGGAGGGCCTGGCTGTTGCATGCAGGGGCTGCGGGGTGTGCAGCGCCGTGCACGTGGCAGCCCGCTGCCTTCCCCCCGCGGCCGGGCGGCTGCAATGGTTCCTCTGCAGCGGCAGGCGGAGCTGCGCCGAGCCCGGGCTCCGCGGCCGCGGGAGGAAGCGGCAGGCAGCGCCGCGGAGCCCGGCCCCTTCCCCCGGGCTGCAGCATGGCTGGACAGCAGCTGCTGCGAGCCGGTGAGCAACCCCCGGGGGCAGCCCCGATGTGCCCCGTCCCCTCTGCCTGCAGCCTGGGCTCCCCATGCACCCAGCCCCTGTGCTTGGGGACCAAAGCTGGGGGGAGAGCCCCTGGCCCAGCTGCTGTGGCTCCTGGAGGTGCCCATGGGTGCCAGGCAGACAGGTCCCTGCAAAGCGGGGTGTCAGAGCAGCTTGGGTTAGGGGCTGCAAAGGCTTGTTTCTAGGGCAGGGCATGAAGTTGCATTCACGCTATGGGGGCAGGTGTCAGCTGTAACTATATGAGCACTGCGTGTCCTGTGTACCCTACAACAACAGGGAGCACGGCTTTGACCTGATGCGGTGCTACCGGAGACAAAGGATGTCTGGGCTGGGCTCAGGCAGGGGGCTGGATGAGATGACCTCTCCAACCCCACTTCTCGTAATCCTCCTAATACTGGGCTGCTTAGCTGCGGTACCCAAGCTAGCCCTGCGTTGCAAGGTGGGATCACCCGCTCTCTGCACTGGTTTCCTCGCCTTTGAAGCAGGGTGAGCAGCAAGCCGTATCGCAAGAGCTAGGAGCATTTTTACAAAGCATTGCCCGCCTGCGGTAAGAGGGGTTACAAACCGCAATGCGTTTATCATCGTACTGGCTCTGTAAACCTTTTTATTTGATTTCCTCCTCCCCTCTCTTTGCAGTCATACCAAGGCTCAGCTGCGTTGGCTTGCTGGAAAGAGTTTCTCCCAGAGCCGCCCTGCTCAGCACTCGACTTTGTGGAACTGTTCCTGTCCCGGCAGAGACCCAGCAGGAGGACCCCAGTGGTAAGGCTGCCTTCTCACCTGCTGGGGAAAGCCAGAGCCCAATACGGATACGGCCTGAAAAGAACAGAATGAATTGAAGTATTCCTCTGTGCTGCCTGCTAGAGTTGCTCTGATCTAGAAGGGAAAGCACATCTAAGTGAATGGGCATCGCTTCTGAGACCCGCTTTTCTACTTCTGCTCTCGGATTCTTGTGCATGTGTTTCTGAATGCATGAGATGATCTCCTAACTTACCTCTTAGTGTGCTGAGAGAAGACTCTGTGGGTGAGGTTTGGGATTGGGAGTCAGGACTTCCAGGTTGTGTGTGTGGTACAGCTTAGGGCAAGGCATTTCACATTTTAGGCTTTTTTCCATTGATGTGATGATGACCCCCACGCAAATACTTCTTGAGTTATACTTTGTAGAATGGTAAAAGGAAGGGGATGCCTGTGGGGGTGGATCTAATTGTGCTTTACAAGCACTGATATGCTGCTGTTCCCGGCAGCATAATATGACCTTCTTTTTCTCACGCCATGAGTGACCTTGGTGTTTTACAAGCTAAGAGTAAAGGTGAAACTCTATTTTCTCTTCTTCCAGTAATTAATGAGAAGCTGATAACTGGACCCCTCAAGCAGCCAGACTATTTCAATGTCAAAGAGCTCTTCTCCCTGAATGATCTCTTTCAGGCCAGAGTGCATTTGGGACACAAGAAAGGGTGCCGTCACAGGTACGTTTCATCACTTTGCCCAGGAGATTTTGGACAGTGCTGGGTAATGTCAGCTTCAGTAGTCCTTGGAAGACCTCATTGGCATCACAGTGTTTTGGGTCGGGCTTATAGAGAAATGAGTACAACTATTTGGCCTTTCAGGTGCTCGCAGAAGGATTCTAAACGAATTGCTGTTAAAAAGTACAAGGGTGGTTATGTTGTTTGTGTGGAGACATAGGTAGCCATATTAGTCTGAAGTCAAGCAGAAGGCAAGCATGGAGCTATAAACTGCTCTGTGCACATCCTTTCACAGCTGCTGATGAAGCGAGCTCCAGCTCATGAAAGCTTATGCTACACATATATCTCTAATTTAGTTAGCATAAGGCAGGGAAGATGTGCACCTTACAGACTACTTGCTGCCATGGAAGCGTACAGGGTTCGAGGCAACTTGCAAAGACTGGGGGATGTCGGATGATTTCTATAAAGCAAAGGTTCCCAAGCACTGGGCCATGGCCGAGTACCAGGCTGCGACAGCTTGGCTGCCAAGTCGTGGCACGAGCCCCCTGCTCAGACCCCCATCTGTCCGCCCAGGCAAGCAGCTTCTGGGGTTAAAGCTGAGCTTCCAGGGTTAAAGGTGCATGGTGGGGCAGGCCCGGGAGGGAGGCAGCTGGCTCCACATGGCTCCACATGCCTCATCCTGCTCCCGTGGGGCCGCGGTATAAAAAGAGTTAGGAACCACTGCTATAGAGGAGCTGGGATGTTTGAGGATATCAGTCCAAGGACAGTAAAGGTCCAGATTCTTGGTATCCCATGTTCTCCCCTTGCTCCTAGGTTTATGGAGCCATATATCTATGGCTGCCGTCTTGACCAGGACATTATTGACTTGGATCAGACCATGGACCACCTCGAGCTGGCGCTCAACTTCACAGCCCACATCGCCTACCGCAACGGGATCATTCTCTTTGTCTGCCGCAACCGCCAGTTTGGACACATGGTGGAGCTCGTGGCCAAGGACTGCGGGGAGTATGCCCACACCCGCTACTGGCAGGGTGGTCTGCTGACCAACTCCCACATCATTTATGGAGGCAGCGTCCGTCTGCCTGACCTCCTCATCTTCCTCAGCACCCTAAGCAACGTCTTTGAGCCCCACGTGGCTATTCGGGACGCTGCCAAGATGAATATCCCAACCGTGGGGGTGGTGGATACGAACTGCAACCCCTCCCTTATCACGTACCCTATCCCAGGGAACGATGACAGCCCATCGGCTATGGAGCTCTACTGCAAGCTCTTCAAGATGACCATCACCCGGGCAAAGCGCAAGAGGAAGCAGATGGAGGCTTTGTATAAACTGCAAAACCAAGCAAGCAGCAATTAGACCCATCTTGGGTGCTTAATGGCCTACTTGCAAATCCGTGAGCTCACCCATGCACTGATAAGCAGCAGGTTGTTGCCTCTGCTCATTCTCTGTGCCAGCAGTGTGTATAAGGCAAATTGTTGTGAACAGTGAGTTTATTAGCATAAATTTCAATGAGAGATCAAATGTACCCTGAGAGAGCCCCCTGGCCTGCTGCTGAGAGAGATCCAGTGTAGGGGGCAGTCCCTGCTCTGAAAAGTTGCCTATGAGTATACTTGGCTGTCGTCTTCTCCCCTTGCTCCCCTGCAAATAAAGCTCACTTACACTAATAACAACTGGTCTAGGCTTGGTTAAGTAGAGTGTATCCACTTTTGTTCACTTCTGTCTGTTCCTTATTCAAGCAGAAATGTATAAAGCATGTTTTGTTGTGATTCTTTCTTTCTAAACATACTGTAATCTGAATTGGGGAAACTTGTTTCCATGCTGCCCCAACCCTCCTCTTGCTGAACAAAATAGAATATTTTATTTTTTCCCCCACAACTTGCAAGTGTTTTCTTAAATGAAACATGAGAAATCCCACAGAAAGCTATAAATGAACGACAGGTTACAGGTTTAAGGTGGGGAATGGTCTTTGCCAGAGAGATCTCCTCCTAAAACAATACTTGTAAAAACTCTTTTTTTTATGGGATCACTGGTGATGTGAAATGTTGAGAGGTTTGGGGTGTTTTTTTAAGTCCAGCTTCTACACTTCCCTGTGTGGAAGCTGAAACTGACTTAAAAAAACCCCAAACCTGTAGAGACCTGCAGGTCAAGCTTTATAGTTTAGAATCCCACTTTAATATACTCTCCCTTACTGTTTTGTTATTTCTGTTTCCTGTTGCAGAGAGGCCTACACCAGCCCCAGAGAGGAAACTGGCTTTTCAGGGCAAATAATGAACCTATTAGGTAGCATTCATATATAGTCAGATGTGAAGGTAACTAACAGGATCTTTTTCCCTTGTCTGTCCCTGATGCACTAATTGCAGGAGTGGTGTTTAACAACTGGAACTAAAGCCATTATTTTGGCTAAAGTGAATTTTTATTTTTTACGGTTCAGAGCTTCCCTTTATTAGTGTCTCTTATTATTTTAGAATAACTCCATTGCTGTATCTAGGGGAAAAAGCAGGCACAAAAGAATGACAAAGGTCCCCCCTCAATGGTGCTGCTGTGCCTGTTTTAGCACTTTAGCTTAATCCAGATTTCCCAAGGGATGGTTCTCATTAGTCCACACTTCAAAACAGAGCCTTTGTTACAAAGAGGCTCATTCCCAAACTGACTACACAGAATGTCGGTCCCTTAATTCAAGTGATGAGACTCTGAAGTGTCAAAGCACAACTTAAACAGAGGGTCCCTGGGCCCTAGTGCTTTTCAAGGCAGGGTTTGCTCTCCCTTTACAGGAGTTTGCTCTCCTTATTAACTAGTGCTGCTGGTATAAGCCTGTTGGTTTGCTTCTTGGGCCTGGAAACTCTGCATGCTTCATACCAGACTTTCTTCCTAGTCTCCTTCCCTGGAGCTGTTTTGCAGGTGCATGCTGATAACTTCTACGAATGAAATCCCTCTCTCCTTCATAGGAGGAATGTCATCTTTTCCCCCTTTTCCACCACGATGCCAACCTCAAGACTTCTTTTGCTCTGCTCTTCGTCCCTTTTCTCTGTCCTCCCTTCTCAGGTTCTTCTTGAGTGTGATTTTTTTTTTTTCCCCCAGCTCCGGCCCCTGGAGGAGGTGAGAAACCCACCCATCCATTTATTCTTTAAGGAAAACATCCAGCTTGCACTCTAGAAGCGAGCATGGAGTCACTAGCATGGAGAAGAGACAGAACTGCACAAGTGTTATTTTTAAGTGAAAAAGGTGCTGCTTTGGGTAAATCGGATATCTTTTATTAGACCAACTACAACTGTTAGCAAAATTCTTCCTTGCAAGCTTTTGGGTACAAACACCCTTCTTCCGGCAGAGGGAGCATCTGCAGTTTTGTGCTCTTAAAAAGGACGTTTTTAAACCGATGCTTTTTGAGGCAGACTCGCGCCGCTGAAATGCAGGGGGGTCACCACGGTGGCCCACACCTTCCCCATCTCCTCTCCCCACTCTTCCACCTTCCTCCACGCCGCAGTGTCCCCCGTCTCCGCTCT